TAGAGAGTGAGCATGAGCAGGAGAAGAGGGAGAGGTCCAAGCAGCCTGGGCTCCCCACGTTGCCCAGCTCAGTGTCCTGAACCCAAGATGATGCCCTGAACTGAAGTCAAGACTTGGTTCTCGGCCAGCCGAGCCACCCGGGCGCCCCCTCACGGTTGCTGTTCCTGATGTGACGGCGCCTTTATGTTCCTGAGGCTCGAAACAAAATTCCCCTTTTCTGGAGGGAAGAAAATACTCCCATCCAGGGAGCCCTGGGTGTTCTTCCCCGAAGTGAGACCTGACCCCCCGCACTACTAGTGGCCCTAGACGCCAAGTGACGGTAGCATTGCGACGGGAATGCCGCAGAAACGACAGCGGGGCCACGGCCGCGAGGGCTCACAAGCAGCCCCCGGACAGGTCTGGCAGGTTCTGTGAGCTCGGCTTCCATCCACCGGGGCTGTTTCTTGTGCCATGTTTAGGCTGCAGCCTGGAGCCCAAACAGTGAACTCAGAAATACCTCAGGGCCCTTTCAGCACTCACCCGACCCTGTGGGGCAGGCTCCCAGCGGGACACCCATCTCCTCCCGGGCACCCCATGTGACAAGTGGGGTCTCTGAAGGACCAGCTCCCTGTCCTTGTGCATTTTATTACCTGTCTTCCGCTTGCTGCCTGAGGCCATGTGGAGCCGGCCTCCCTTCCTCCATCCCACTCCTCTCAGGGGTCTTTCTCTTCTCTTGTTGGACTTGGCCACAGCCTTCAAACCATCTGCCTGGTGCCCTGCCTTTCCTCCCCTGAATTCATCCCCTGCATTTATTCAGTCTTGCAGTAAGTGTTTATGGGGTCTCTTGTGATCTCCAGGCACTGTGTTAGACTCTGATGATACCGGGGGGAAACTAGACAGGGAATGACCCGCCTCTCTGGGACTTAGAATCAATGAGGGGACGTGGGGGAGCAAAAGGCACGTGATGAGCCAGAGAGACCATTCCAGGCAGCGGTGAGGACCGCAGAGAAGAGAACCGGGCATTACTAGCTAGTGTGTCTTGGAGGGCTTCATGGAGGTGGTGGCACAAGAGCAGAGACCAAAATTGCGAGGTACTCCAGGCCAAGGGAACAGCTCTGGAAAGGTCAGAAGGCTCCAGGAGGGTGTGTGTGTGATGCGGGGGTGGGGGCAGACAGGTTGACAGTGTTGGGTGGGTGCTGGAGGGGGAGTGGGGAGACGTGAAGTGAGGTTGGCAGGGCGTGCTGTGGCGACATTGTGCCGTTCCCTCTGAGCCGTGCTAACAGTTTAGCTGCACGTGTTGGGGGGATGGATAGAGTTTACAGGGAACCATTGTAGAATTCTGAGCTAGGACAGTGTTGTGACCGTTGAAGGCTGCCTGTAGCCTGTGTCCCCCAGAGCTGTCTCCCTAGATGCCTGTGAGATCACGCGTCTCCTGCATCCGTCCTCCGGCGGCTTCCTTCTGCGATGGTCTGCAAGGCTGTGCACGACCCACCCCGACCGCCGCTAGTCTGCTATCGCTCAGACGGCTGAGCCCAGCTGCGGGGCCTGCCCTCTGCCGCCCGCCCCACCTCCTGCCTTTGTCCTTCGCATCTGCTCTTCCCTCTCCGTGGCGTGTCTGTTCCCCACCTGAGGGTACCCACCTAGACCCTCTGACGGACGTGTCTTTTCTCCAAGAGATGCCAAAGGACTGTTTTCAGGAGTGACTTCCTCTGACTCCAGCCCTCTCTCCGTCCCTCTTGCAAACTTCCCTCGAGCTTCGCTGAGCCCCCGTGGATCACAGCTTCGTAGCACTTGCTGCCTCTGCCTCGACACCCACCGTCTGCCTGCCGGTCGTCACCCCGTCCACACAGAAATGCCTTGAGGGAAAACATCCTGGCGGAAACCCACAAATCTTCATCTCTCACCGCCCAGCCAATGACGTTCATTACCTGGGGCTTAGCCCAGGTTATCACGGATGAGGTGGGCTCCATCCTTAGCCCCATTTTACGGATGAGAAGCCTGAGGCTCCTCCTCCCCAGTTTAGCCACCTGACGGTGGAGCTGGTAAATGGCAACGCAGGGACGTCATCAGGTGCCATCATCCCACAGTGTGGTCTCTCGGATGGTTTCATAGGGGCCAAAGAGGCCAGGCAGGGGATCGGACCAAGGGGGGCAACTAATGAGGGCAAGACCGCTCAGTTTTTCAAGGGATGCCGGGAATCTGGGTTTTAGGCTGAAATACCTTGGTCTTAGTATTTGGGGCCGTGCAGGCCGCAGTAGCTTGTGGGAGAAGTAGGACTGTCTTCACCAGCAGGTCAGAACACGGCTGCTCCCCGAGTGGGGGAGTCTGTTCTGGACAGTGTTGCTTTCAGCCTGCTGGAGTCACCAGCTCCCTTCTGGGATGGACCACAGCCTCTCTTTAAAATATTCTGGAAGCAGTAGGCACACTTGAAAACTGGGATCTTTAAACGTGGGCTACGTATGAGATCACACCAGCAAATCAGCGTTCTTTTTTTTTAGAGGTGCTGATGGAACTGTGGTTAAATAGGAAAATGTTCTTCGGGTTTCGGGAAGGCGTGCCACAGCCCCCTGCGGTGAGATGTCACGATGACTATAATTTACTGTAAAAGACCTCAGCAAAAAGGTAGTAGTGATGAAGTAAATACAGAACGGGGTTATAACTTTTTTATTAGAGGCTTATGGGGATTCATGATACGATTTGCTCTGCTCTTTGCCATATTTGAAATTTCCATAATAAATTAAGAATGAAATGACAGACGGGGAAAAAAGGCCGTCTCCCACGGAGAGCTCTGAGCTCTTCCTGCCCCACTGCAGCCTCTGCGGGGACTCTGGGTGCCGGCACCCCCGAATCAGAGACCCGCAGGACAGTGTGGCCCCCAGGCACTGAGGTGACATGGTGACGGGCTTCCTTGTCATCGCATGGTCACCAGCTTCTGCTAGTGCTGACCCCGAGTGAATCCTGGTTCAGGGAAGCCTGTGGTTTGGAAGACTCGCAGCTTTTTCGTCTGTGAGTTGAAGAATGTCTTCCGGGTGGCAGGTGGCTCCCACTCTGGGCGGGTTAAGGACCCAGGACCCTGCTGGTCCACCTCCGGACTCTGCGCCCTCGGGCACGTTCCTTACCCTTTCTCAGCTTCTGCTTCCAGCCTCAGACGGGCTGTAAACGTGCGAGGCAAGGAGCGCACTGAGCACAGGGCATGAGTAAAGATTCCACAGATATCTTCACTCTGAATCGCTCCTGGAGAAGTTGCCCCCTTGTCAAAGTGAGATTGCTGCCGCGTTGGGTCCTCACGGGGCTGGCCGGGTTTCCAGGCAGTGGCCCTCAGGAGGAATGAGTCTGTGCAAGGGGGTCGGCTTCTCCCAGGGTGATAGACTTTCTGCCACGGCACTGCTGCCCATGGGACCTGGGTGAGAGGAGGCTCCAAGACAAGTGAAAATGGGTGTTTTTGACCCCCAGGTGGCATCCCCCCACCTCCATTTTGAGTGTCCTCGCCCCCTGGGATCCCGTTGCCCGCCCAGCCCCACAGGCAGCACGAGGAGTCACCTCCCGTCTCCATCTCTGCGTGTTGCTTCTGGAGTGGCCTGACCCTCTGTGCGGCAGGAGGGGAGAGACCTCCATGAGCTCAGCGGGGGCCGATGGGCTCCTTTGTTGTCCTGCCTCTTGGGCTTTTGTGCCCATGAGAACTCAGGTCTCAGGAGCTCCATGGGGTGCTCACCTGGCACGTTCTCCGCCTTCCCAAGGAGGAGAGGCTCACTGCTCGGTGATGCAGGATGGCAGAGTAGCACCTGGTGGTCAGACCAGGGAGGGAGCGCAGGCCCAGGGCGCTCCCCCCCCCGCCCTGGTGGCTGCCGGGGATCAGAGTCCCTCCTGGGGGCTCGGCAGTGGTCAGTGTTCTCACCCTCCCGAGGAGGGGAGGAGGGTCACACTGAGGCAGCTTGCGGGGGTGGCCCTGGGTGAGACCTCGCTGTGGCCAGGAAAGGGGCAGTGGGGGCACTTGCCACCAGCCGCAGCTCCGTGACCCTTCCTCCCGCTGGTGCACCAGGAGGGCTGCCAGACAAAACACGGGCTGCTGGTGAGATCTGAATTTCACATAAACGATGAATAATTTCTTAGTTCGAGTATGTCCCAAATACTGCACGGGAAGTTTTATTGTGTGGTACGTAGTTGAATACTGAGAAATTATTGGGTCATGAATTATTGAATATGGAGTTATGAATACTGGAAAATTCTGCATTGTTTCTCTGAAATCCAGCTCTCACCCAGCATCCTGTAGTTTTGTTTGCGGAGTCGAGTAGCACTTAGAGACTCTGCCTGCCGTGCTCAGGGTTTGGCAGGGCTTTGTGGGCGCTCGTCTCTCAAGATCAGGGCAGGTGCTGGGCAGGTCCGTGGGTGCCTCTGAGAGCAGCCTCTTTCAGCACACTGTTGCCCAGCTCCTGCTGGGGTGAGCTCTGTGCTGGCGGGGGCTGGGGGAGCACCCCACTCCATCTGTGGGACCTCATTTACCAATAAAACCTTTCTTAAATAGCGGCGACTGATTCAGATTTTGGAAAATTCCCACGTTGGCAAATTAAGCACTGTCTCCGGAAGGCGGCATTTAGTGGGACGGACAATTACCTGGGCCTGTGTGATCACAGGTATATTGGTGCGTCCCACTCTGGCCTGTGACCTCTGCCAGCAACACAGCAGTGAGCGTTGGGTTCATGGTAGGGTCCCCACGCCCCATCACCATGTGGTAGGCGCTCATGCATAACAGCCACAGTGGTAAGACTTCATTCATTCATGAGCACACTGTAGGTGGTCGTAGGGACCCGCTGGGCCCTTCTTAGTAGGAATATCATGAACATCTTCCCTGGTGCTCAGCGTGATCACCCAGGGGAAGCCTTAGGCACCGTATGCACGTGGCGGTCGCTCCGTACACATTAGCCTGCTGCCCGGTGGTGACTGACTGCTGGGTCTTCTCGGGCTGTTTTTGGACGGGCGAAGAGAGCACACCTGAGCATGCCGGCATGTGTGTGTTTTCTCAGGATGCCAAGTTTGTGGAGGAGCGGAGGAAGCAGCTCCAGAATTACCTGCGCAGCGTCATGAACAAGGTCATCCAGGTGGCCCCCGAGTTCGCCGCCAGCCCCAAGAAGGAGACCCTCGTGCAGCTCATGCCCTTTTTTGTGTAAGTACAGTTTGCGCGGGCCCTCCGTCGGCGCTTCCTCCTTCCCCTCCTCTGTGGCGGCCAGCGGGGTGTGTGCGTGCGTGTGTGTGTGTGTGTGGGTGTGTGTCCTCGCCACGCTGGGGCCCAGGTGCTCCCGGAGCCATGGGCCACAGTATTGCAGACTGCAGGAAGGGCTTGGAGACCGCGCGTCTGCATTTGAGCGTGGTTGAGCTGAGGTCTGCAACTAAATTAGGCCGGTGTGGTTTTCTGCTTCATGCCTTCTGATCAACGGAGAGACTAATTTTCTCTGCAGCTCACAGAATGTTCCAGAACCAAATAGGTCCGTCGCTGTTGCCTCGGTGGGTAACGGATGCAAGGAGACATTCTCGGACTCCCACTGGCACTGACTTAAGTCATATTAATATGAAAATAACTGTGACCTAACTTAAAATCGGGTATAAGTTTCTTGTTCTTCTATCTCATGAAATTGGAAAGAAAGTGGAAGGCGTTGTTGACGTGTGAAGCACTTACTAAATCATGACGCTTCTGAATTGTCAGCACATCTGAAGCCAAAGCTTTGCTCCCAGTGGCACACGGCACGTTCTTTCCGCTCGCCCCGTGTGGCGCCCGGGTGTCCTTGCCCCCTCTTCTCCGCTCCCGTTGCTGGGAACATCTGTGCCGCACCTGGGGGCAGGCGGTCGTCACGTGGCGTCACTGGCTGATTACCAGTGAGTCTGCTCTGTGCTGTTAAGTCTGTCTCTAGCCTGACACGCTTGTACCCTGGGATCGGGACCGAGGTGACGGAGCAGACTGGTTTTTCGTTGAGCCTTCAGATGCTATAGAACATAATCATATCGTTTCTAGAACATTAGCATCATATGGAAACACAAGATGGAAAATCCCGTATGGCAAACCTGTGGATCCCTTAGTTGAGAAGCGCTGGTCTGGGTCTGTGTGATGGGTTGGGGTAAATCAGAGTTTCTTTGTAGTCTAGCTCGTGGCCTCGGCAGGTCAGGGCTTGGGGGCCTGTCCTCGGGACCAGTGATGCTCTCACTTCAGGCCTGGAGCTTTGCTTCTGTCCTGGGGCACGCCTTTGGGTCACACTTGAACTCCCAACCAGACAGAGTTGGCCTGACTGGCCCCCTTAATGCTTGCAGCTTGCTTTTGTTTTTCTAATTGTTTCAGGGCTTTTGTGAGAAGACAAAGCCTGTATTCTGCCTCCCGGCAAAAGGAACCTTTGTTTCCTGCATGCATTGGATGGGAAACTGCATTTTCCTCTCATTCCCTTGTGATGCTCGGGCCTTGGCTTTGGTGTTTCAGAAGCGATGTAGTAGCTCACGGGTGGGGAGGCCGGGAGCTCCCATTCTTCTATGGCAGCCTCCTGGCTGGGATGGTATTGGAGATTAACCTGTCACTGAGTCCTATGAGTTTGGGCTAAATTTTCTGATGAAAACAGAGTTAGAGTCAGTCTTAAGATCCTGATCTGAGAAGGAAGACTGCTCACAGCAAGCTGGTGTCCTTCCTGCTGGGTGCGTGCAGCCCCGGCGTCTCTGGCTGAGTGTTTGCCAAACACTGGCCCGTGGGATGGTGGAAACTGTACGTGCATCTCAGTGTGGGGCGAGCTCAGCCGTGCCAGTTTCCATTCACCGGAGCAGAGGGAGAAACCTTTTATGCCTAATCAGCACAGAGAACGTAGGGTTTGATGTCACAGGCTTTAAAAAAAATACAAAGAATTTCAGTAAGAGACTGTAGCACATGACGCACCGTTGACAGCAGGCGTTTGAGTAAACACTAGTCTAGACCCCGCTTGGGATTAGGCATTTCGGTCCTTTGGCTTCTCCTCGCCGTCCACGTGATGCTGCCCTGGCCTCCTCCGTCTTTATTGAGTTGGGATTCCGGGTCGGAGTCTGCCCATTGGTTCATTTTGGGGCAGTGGAAGCCGACACTGGCCAAGTGCGCCCGTGCCGGTGATTCTCCACGTGGGAATTTCCTGTTTGTGTGTGCCCGTAGAAAGCTGCGTCTGGCCTTCTGCTCGAGAGCTCGCCCTGAGAAATTTCTAGTTAAAAAAAAAACCACAACTCTCTTAGCTCAGGAAATAAACCCCACAAAGCGTAATTATTCTTACAAATCTTGGCACATTTCCTCAGTTCTTTCAAATGTCGATTCAAGACTCGAGAAACCCCCTTTGGCTACTGAACGCAGGTGGGCTTGTTGACGAAGGACGGCCCCTGCCGCCTGTCCCTTCCGTTTCCTGAGCGCTCGCAGACACTGGCTGCCTGTTCCCCTCCTTGATCTCATCCAATCTCCCTGAGAACCTGTCAGGAGGAACCTTATAAACTTGCCAGTAACCTGGCAGTTTGACGAGGTCCCCTTGGAAGTGCTGAGGGGAGTGAGGCCCAGAGAGGTTTCCTCGTGACCCCAGGACTAGCCAGCCAGCGCATGGGGAGCCCGGGCTTTCTGGCGCCATACCGCATGTTTCGGGACAAACCTGCAGCCTGTAGACCACGCCTGCCCCTCTGAGCTGTTTCATTTGACCAGCGCAGTGGGCTTTTGTTACTTGTGTGTCTACATTGACGTGACACCAACATTAAAATATTAGATGGTGTCAGGAAAGAAGTCGAGGTGTCAGAATCGGTCATGTCCTGTTACGGGCTGAACCCTTGTATCCTCCCAGAATTCCTGTGCTGCAGCCCTAGCCCCAGTTTGATTGCATTCAGAAGTAGGGCTTTGGGGAGGTCATTAGGTTTGGGGGAAGTTATCAGGGGGACAGGATGGGGTTAGTGCCCCATAAGAGGAGGAGGAGGGGAGGTACTAGACTCCTCTCTCTCTCTCTCCGCCGTATGAGGACGCAGCGAAAGGCAACATTTACGAGGCAGGAAGAGAGCCTTCACCTGGAACCCAGTCTGCCAGCCCTTTGATCTTGGACTTGTCGCTCCAGAACAGTGAGAAATCAGCGTCTGTTGCTTAAGCTCCCCAGTCAGTGGAGTTTGGTTGTGGCAGCTGGGGCAGACGGATCCCCACCCCACCCCAGCCCAGCCCGCTCAGCCTCGCTTGGCTGGAGTCGAGCAGTGCCGGCCCGCCCTCGTGGAGACCCCCGCGCCCGTCGTCTTCGGGACTCTGGGCGAGCCTCCCCTGCCCTGGCTGTCAGCGCTGGGCTGTTGGCGTCACACACTCGCTTGTGTTACCTGGCCCCCGCAGGAGGCTTGAGTTTGCAGTCCTGCCTCTTCGCCACCACTCAGATGGCTTCTCCGTCGAGGCGGACGTGGGACTGGACTGTTACTCACGATGCGTTCCTCGCACACTCTGCTCCCATGCGCGTTCCGTGAGCGGGTGCACTGCTGAACTTCCGAAAGGCGGTCCCGCTCCATCTTGGGAGGGAGAGGGCTGATGGGCAGGGGCATGGGAGCAAGTGAATAGCGTTGGCCCGTTTCCTTCATCAGTCTTCCTTAAAACGTCAGGGCTTGTGCAGCCTGGAGTCCAGTATCCCAACGGGGCCTGCTTTAGCACGCACGTTGCTAGGTTGTTGTTTCTCTCTAACGTGTCCGGATTTCACTGTGTTCTGCGAGGGCCGTCATGACTCCCAGGTACTCTGCCATCTGCACAAACCCGAGAGCCGGAGAATCAGCTGGATGAATTCGTTCTCCAAATCTCTCCGCCTGCCGTTGCCCGCCTCGCGAATGCCGGCAGAAAGCAGGGTAGTAGAAAGCAGGTCTCGCTTCTTTGCCATTTTGAACTCTGTGCATCCGGCGGGGACCAGAGGGTCCCCCAGATGGTGAGCATATGAGGGGCGGCCCCTGTAGCGGCCTCCTTCGGACCCCCGTGTTGTTTGCGTCCTCCCCGCGTTTCAGGGAAAGGTGGGCTCCAAGACGCGGAGCGTGGCAGGTGTCACCCCGGACACCCGGGCCATGTCAGGTGCTCTTTTGAAAGTCCGTTAATGAGGGAGGCTCGGAATCCAAAAATCCATTCCACGGACCTGGACCACAAAATCGGTGAAGGCTTAAATGATTTGTTGTGCTGTCATTTAGCGCATCATTAAAATGTTTTCTGCAGAGTAATTCATCCCTGGGAAATGCCTCATGTTCTGCTCTTCCTGAAGGGGAGAGGAAGAGTTGTGGGGGCCGAGGCTGCGGTTAGAGTGTGGGTCACAGCACAATTTTCCAATGGAATTTTCAGCAGAAAAATTGCCCCACTCCACCCCCCACCCCATCTGCTGCTGCGTTTACTCATAAAGCCGTTGCACGTGTTTCTGGCTGAAATTCAAGTGGCCGTGAGCAGGGGTTTAGCTCGGGGAGGAAACACCACGGCCCGTGCCCCAGCAGGGAGAGCCTGAGGCTCAGGTTGAGAGCTGGGAATTTGCGAGTTGAGCATCCCCAGCCTGGCACCTTTCCGAACACCCTGTCTGGCCTCTGCCCTTGGCCGGCTTCACGATGTACATCAGCTCGGGGGCCCTTGAAGGCCGAGGAGTTTGAAATCGCTGATCGCCAAATACTAAGGGCAGGGAGTTTGGAGTCCATGATACTCCCCGGCTCTTCGGCTGGGGAGGATGGTGACCTCGGGCAAGGATTTGGTCTTGTGTGGTAAAGGGAAGAGTTGCACCAGGGCCGCTGGCCCGTGGGGGTGTTCCTTGTGGGCACGTGAGAGCGGCAGCACTGCATCTGCTCTGTGACGGCTGCTGTTAATCATGAGACTCCCGAGAAAGAGGAGAGAATCCTGATAAAACCCCGGGGACATTTCCCTGTTTGTCTCTTCACACAGCCAGCCATCCACCCATCTATCCCTACAAGTAAAACACTGGAGGCTCGGAAAATTTAAGTGTTTTGCCTAAAGTGATTCTGAATTATTCCTGAAGCCAGCCTCTCCGTCCCTCCTTCCCCTGCTGGGGATCTCCGCTCCAGACAGTGACTCAGGACCTGCCCTGAGGAAGCCGGGCGCTCAGCTCTGGGTCTTCAGGAAGCCCAAGGGGCTGGCCCGGGTGCGGGTGGCCGTGCTTTTCTGGAGGGGTCAGGCCTGTCCCACAGGAA